CATTTCATATACTATCTGTACAGTTGAGTCTACCTTGCTCTAAGTTAGTGGCTGCAGTTCGCCATTGCCGATACTCATGATGTTCTTTACGTCTTGGGCAGTGGCCGTCACCTACTATAGCCACCCCTTGTTGATTTTAATCATATGCCTTTTTGTGTCTATGTCTGACTATATGTCTTTCTGTGTCTATGTCTGATTAACTTTTTCCACTGATGGGTTTTTTTTTTTTAACCTAATTAAAGGGTTTCATTTTTATCTACCATTTTCATGCTTTCGCTTCATTTGTACTGGTACGGTATGGTACCTTTAAAGCCCCATTAGCTTTTGAGGTTATGGTTCTTGTTTTAATATATATAGTGCAGGGGTCTGGAGTGGGTAAAGTACATAGTGCAAGATTCTGGGGTGGATAATGTGCATACTGCAGGAGTCTGGGGTGGGTAATGTACATAGTGCAGGAGTCTGGGGTGGGTAATGTACCTAGTGCAGGAGTCTGGGGTGGGTAATGTAAATTGTGCAGGAGTCTGGGGTGGGTAATGTAATTAGTGCAGGGATCTGACATGGGAAATGCTTATTGTGCAGGAGTCTGGGGTGGGTAATGTAATTAGTGCAGGGATCTGACATGGGAAATGTTTATAGTACAGCAGTCTGGGGTGGAAAATGCACATAGTGCAGAAGTCTGGGGTGGATAACATACAAAGTGCAGGAGTCTCAGGTGGGTAACACATATAGTTCAGGGTTCGGTTAGGTAATGCATAGAGCGTGGGGGCCAGGTACGTAATTTACATAGATAAGGAGTCTAAATATATATAGCCCAGTGAGCACACAGCACCCCCTGTGATTCTTTTCCTCCCATCCGCTTATACATTGCACAGCAGTACCACCTATGTAAATATATACACATGCATACAACATGCATACACATGCATGTAACATACATGCAATATACATACACACTGCATACACATACATGCAACATGCATAAATACACATACACTGCATACATATATATAACATACAGTACATACTGTATACAACCCACATACAACATGCATACACAATCAAATACTCACCAATCAGGTGGCATCTTCAGTTCCCAGTATCCCCCTCCTGCTGATGACATTTGTTTCCACCCTGTGGGCAGCTCATCCTCACCTAATTCACATGTATAGCTCTAGCCCTAGTACCAGTTCCAGACTAAGTTCTAGTTCCAGTTACAGCACCAGTTCCAATTCCATTTCTTGCCCCAAGTCCTCCCCTTCTTCCTCTTCTCCTGGCAGCCAGTATTTGCTGGCATTTACCAGTAAGGTGCAGCATGCGTGACTCAGAAAAATGACATCATGCACAGTGTACTCTTTTTACATTGCTGGAATGGAATTTAAAGAGATATAATCAGTCTGGTAATGAACCAGCAACTGAAACTACATTCCAGCATTGCTGGGTCAATTCCAGCAAGCTCCCAGCTATGGTGATCCTGCGATCTTGTGTCATGCGAACCTTCAGACTGTCATAGTCTAAGGCAGTGGTTCTCAACCTGTGGGTCGCGACCCCTTTGGGGGTCGAATGATCCTTTCACAGGGGTCGCCTAAGACCATCGGAAAACGCCTATCCGTCTCCAGGCGGGTCCGCCCACATGCAGATAGACTCTATGAGGTAGTGGTGAGGGCGGCCAGAGGGGCTCGACAGGGTGTCCCGCACTCCCGGCTTGCTGTGAGCCTCTCACGCTGAACTAACACCAGCACACTGATTGGCCCGCTCCCTCTTCCCTGTGCGTTATGAGCGGCCAGCCAGGCTGGAAGCTCCTCCCCTGTAAGGGGCGGGTCGGAGGTGCCCCACTGCCACCCATTGGCTGTCCTTGCACCTGCTGCATGTTTCCCCGGGCGGGCAGCTGCTCACAACAGCTGTATAGATGTGAGCTGGGCCCCCCTTTGTCTTCGGGGAAGGGGGATCTGGTTACCCGCAGAGCGTGTGCCCTACAGCCGCTCACCTCCCATGCAGGCTTCTCCTCACAGCACTTGTACGAGGGCTGGCACCAGGGCACACGGCCCGCTAGAGGGAAGTACACAGCGACCTGCAACCCCAGACTTTACGGGGTCATACAAGGAGCCTCAGGGCAGACGACTTGGTGTGGGAGAGGGCTGATACTAAATACACACAGATACTATTAAAATACATAATGTAATAGTAAGTCACTTCTAATAACCTTGACATAACTACCAGATACTTTATGCCTAAATATAGTATACTCAACCTTCAACTGATTTAGCTAGTTCAGCTTAACTTATTCATATCTTTTTTAGTCTCAGTTTAATTGAAGAATACTAATACTACCATTTGTCAAAAGACCATTTACACATATTATTATTAATTATGACTAATCATAAAAACCAAATATTTTGCAAGCTTGCCATCAATATAAGTGCCGAATCATAATTTAGATTTATTAACAATGTTCTTGTACAATCACAGAAGGAACTATTGAAAATACATCCTGCATATTAGATATATACATTACGATTCATAATAGTAGCAAAATTACAGTTATGAAGTAGCAGCGAAAATAATTTTATGGTTGTGGGTCACCACAACATGAGGAACTGTATTAAAGGGTCGCGGCATTAGGAAGGTTGAGAACCACTGGTCTAAGGTATGGTCTAGGCTTACAATTCTTGCTGTATTAAAAGGTGAAACCATATTGGTCACTGTGGACTCCAGTTTTCCTTTTTCTTTTCTTTTGAACAGTTTTACTCAGTGGTTCAATTGCCTTCACTGGAAAGTTATTGACAGAGTTCTCTCTATAGAACTACATTAAAGGAGCAGTACATACCCTAGCTGTTCTACTAAACAGGATGCATGTGTATTTACTGAACATGATGAAAAGATGTCTTTAACCACTTGCCGCCCAGCCACCACATATAAACGGTGGCAGGGCGGCACTTGTAGGCAAAAGCACCTTTTAAAACGGCTGCCTTCAAAACAGGTAGGGGGCGCTACCTGTCCCGCGGGTGTCAACAGCGGGTGTCAGCCGACGGGTCACGGACGGTTTTTACCGGCCGTTTTCCCGCGATTGCCGGTTATCGCTGACACGGAGCAGGGCTGCATTGTTTACACACAGCCCTGTTCTGTGTCAGTTCTCTGACAGCTTGTGAGAAGCTGCAGAGTTTCTGTCCCTCGATCAGCTCCCCCCTCCCTCCCCTCCGTCCAGTACACACCCCCGCCCCCTAGTAAAACACTCCCCTTACACTGCAAATTCTAAAAATGTTAACCCCTTCCTCCCCAGTGACATTAGTACAGTTTCAGTGGGTTTTTTTTTACTGATCACTGTATTGGTGTCACTGGGGATGTCAGTGACCCCTAGTCAGTTCCCCCCCAATGTCAAAATGTCCGCCGCAGTCCTGCCATAAGTCGCTGGTCGCCGCCATATGTCGCTGATTGTCACCAAAAGTCGCTGATCGGCGCCATTATTAGTATAAATAAAAATTAAAAATTCCAGTATCTTCCCGCCATTTGTAAATGCTATAACTTTCATGTAAACCAATTAATTTACACGTATTGGGATTTTTTTTAGCAAAGACATGTCGTAGAATGCATTTTGGCGGAAATTTATGACTAAATTTGATTTTTGCATTTTTTTTTTACTGGACATGTTTTACAGCAAAAAGTCCAAATATTGTTTTTTTTTTTCCTCAAAATTGTCAGCCTTTTTTTTATAGCTCAAAAAATAAAAACCGCACAGGCGATCAAATACCACCAAAAGAAAGCTCAATTTGTGGGGAAAAAAAGGATGTAAATTTCATTTATGTACCGTATTGCATGACCGCGCAATTGTCTGGCTGTATAGCAGAAAAATGGAGTAAATTGCAGTATCTATACCATAGTTTGTAGACGCTATAACTTCCACACAAAGCAATCAATATACACTTATTGGGATTTTTTTACCAAAAACATGTAGCAAAATACATTTTGGCCTAAATTTATAACCAACTTTGAGTTTACTGTATATTTTTTATAGCTGAAAGTAAAAAATATTGTTTTTCTTCAAAATGTTTGGCCTTTTTTTGTTTATAGCGTGAAAATTAAAAAGTGCACAGGTGATCAAATTACACCGAAAGAAAGCTGTATTTGTGTGAAAAAAAGGACGTAAATTTCGTTTGGGTGCAGCATTGCATGACCGCGCAATTATCAGTTGAATTAGTGCAGCGCCGAGTAGCAAAAAGAGGCCTGGTCAGGAAGGGGGGTAAATCCTCTGGAGCTCAAGTGGTTAAGGAATCAAAAATAATTAATTTTGAATGCACAATGTTACATTGATTCCATTGTGTTTCTGCAGCATTAAAAAAATATGTTTGTAAGTATGGACGGGATGTTAATATACAATTATCATAAGCAATTAATAATTGCTTATGATATAAAAATAATAATAAAGCATTAATAGAGGATTCACCTCCCTCTTATTCTAAGACACAGGCTGGATGGGTGTGGCACAGCCTATGACTAGCAGAAATCCACCCTCACCATGTTATTTCCACAAAGTATTAAAGATTTTATTTCCAATACATATTTGTATGATGATTTTAAACAGTTTATTGATATTTTTTATTTATATTTGCTCAGTATTCCAAAGGCTTTTTTAATTTATTTTAAACATGTGACCAGCAGCAGAGGACTCCTGCTTAAGTTTCCCTGCAGACAGGCTGGGAAAGAGCTGGTTCATGTGACAGCTGTATGTCGATTAGGAAAAAGGTATTTAGATTTTTTTTAATTAAAATAATTACAGTGCCATCATCCCCATACACAAATAGAGGGACAATGTAAATTAAACAGTATGTGTTTAGTATCACTTTAAGAGAAAAAAAAATCATACTCACCTTCCTCCAGCTTCCATGGTGTAGGGGAGGACATCACCATCCTTGATGAGATCCTGGGGCAAGCTAAGTACTACGAAGCTGCTTCTAGCACAGTTCTCAATGGGATTTGGAAAACTCTTTATTCCCAGATCTCATCAGAAGGAGGATGATACACTATACACTATATTGCCAAAAGTATTGGGACTCCCCTGCAAATCATTGGATTCAAGTGTTCCAATCACCTCCATGGCCACAGGTGTAAATAATCAAGAACCTAGGCATGCAGACTGCTTCTACAAACATTTGTGAAAGAATGGGTTGCTCCCAGGAGCTCAGTAAACTCAAACGTGGTACCTTGATAAGTCCATCTGTGAAATTTTCTTGCTACTAAATATTCTATGGTCAACTGTTAGTGGTATTATAACAAAGTGGAAGCAACTGGGAACAACAGCAACTCAGCCACGAAGTGGTAGGCCACATAAAATGACAGGGCGGGGTCAGCGTATGCTGAAGCACACAGTGCACAGAAGTCGCCAACTGTCTGTTGAGTCAATAACTAAAGATCTCCAAACGTCGTGTGCCCTTCATATTAGTACAACAGTGCGTATAGAGCTTCCTGGAATGGGTTTCTGTGGCCGAGCAGCTCCATCCAAGCCATACATCACCAAGTACAATGCAAAGCGTCGGATGCAGTGGTGCAAAGCACTCCGCCACTGGACTCTAGAGCAGTGGAGACATGTTCTCTGGAGTGATCAATCACGCTTCTCTGTCTGGCAATCCGATGGACATGTCTGGGTTTGGCGGTTGCCAGAACAGTACTTGCCTGACTGCATTGTGCCAAGTGTAAAGTTTGGTGGAGGGGGATTATGGTATGGGATGTTTTTCAGGGGTTGGACTTGGCCTCTTACTTCCAGTGAACGGAACTCTTAATGTGTCAGCCAAGACATTTTGGACAATTTCATGCTCCCAACTTTGACACGGATGAGCATGTTTGGGGTGGAGAAACTTGACTGGCTCCACAGAGTCCTGACCTCAACCCAACAGAACACCTTTGAGGTGAATTAGAGCGGAGACTGCGAGCCAGGCCTTCTCATCTGACATCAGTGCCTGACCTCACAAATTTTGGAAGAATGGTCAAACATTCCCATAGACACACTCCTAAACCTTTTGGGCAACCTTCCCAGAAGAGCTGAAGCTGTTATAGCTGCAAAGTTTGGGACAACTCAATATTGAATCCTACGGACTAAGACTGGGATCCCATTAAAGTTCATGTGCATGTAAAGGCAGACGTCCCAATACTTTTGGCAATATAGTGTATCATGCATACAATCTAATTTTTTTCCTTACAGGTATTTTTATGATTTTTTTGCCAGCAATTCAGCAAAGGGTTACCAAAGGGGGGAAAATGTAAATAGCAAACCTTGCATTTCAGGTACAAGGTCTGCTTTAAGGAAAATGGGTGAAAAATCTTTTAATGTCAGTACTTTACTTTATAAATACATAAGCAGCTGACCTCAGATGGGGAGATATGGATGAGATAAAATATTTTAAGATAGCAGAGGAAATAACACTATTACTGCCCAGCCACAAACAGCTTAAAAGGTCAAAACTTGCATCTGCAGCTATTGACCTTTATATGTAGTTTGCAGCAAATGCTGTGCCCCAATTATTTGCAGTTGTCCTTTGAAGAAAGAATCAGTAAGATGCACTCATAGCAGGTCTTTATCAGGGCACCTAGAATAAAGACCGTGAAGCCAGTGCCATATTTAAAGTTAAACTCCAGGCAGATCGAAAAAGACACCGGTTGATACAGGTATGTGACCCTTAATAAATCATGTTTTTTTAAGTAACTAGTGCATTTTGGAGTCCCCTGTACAGCTGAGAGTGAGAGGAAGCAGCATGACTAGGTGCTATATGGTTGAGCTGCAGTGCCAATACACTAGGAAGAGCAGAGTGAAGAGGGGGTCTTCAGTTTGTTGCCCCTTATTTGTAGACAAATCACAGGCTGGCAGAGGAAAAAATACCTACAGTAGTTGTATTACTTAACCACTTGCCCTCCTGAGGATTTACCCCCCTTCCTGACCAGGCATCTTTTTGCTACTCGGCGCTACACTAATTCACCTGATAATTGCGCGGTCATGCAATGCTGCACCCAAACGAAATTTACGTCCTTTGTTTCACACAAATAGAGCTTTCTTTCGGTGGTATTTGATCACCTGTGCGCTTTTTATTTTTCACGCTATAAACAAAAAAAGACCAAACATTTTGAAGAAAAACAATATTTTTTACTTTCAGCTATAAAAAATATATAGTAAACTCAAAGTTAGTTATAAATTTAGGCCAAAATGTATTTTGCTACATGTTTTTGGTAAAAAAACATCCCAATAAGTGTATATTGATTGCTTTGTGTGAAAGTTATAGCGTCTACAAACTATGGTATAGATACTGCAATTTACGCAATTTTTTTGCTATATACAGTGCTGCGCTAGTTTAACGGACAATTGCGCGGTCATGCAATGCGGTACATAAATGAAATTTACATCCTTTTTTTCCCAAAAATTGAGCTTTCTTTCGGTGGTATTTGATCACCTGTGCGGTTTTTATTTTTTTGCACTATAAAAAAAAAGCTGACAATTTTGAGAAAAAAAAAACAATATTTTGGACTTTTTGCTATAAAACTTGTCCAGTAAAAAAAATGTAAAAATCAAATTTAGTCATAAATTTCTGCCAAAATGTATTCTGCGAAGTCTTTGCTTAAAAAAAAATCCCAATACGTGTAAATTAATTGGTTTACGTGAAAGTTATAGTGTTTACAAATGGCGGGAAAGATACTGGGATTTTTTTTTAATATACTAATAATGGTGGCGATCAGCAACTTATGGCGGTGATCAGCGATTTATGACAGTGATCAGCGACTTATGGCGGGACTGCAGGACTGCGGCGGACATTTTGACACTGGGGGGGAACTGACTTGGGGTCACTGACATCCCCAGTGACACCAATACAGTGATCAGTGCAAAAACAAAAACACTGAAACTGTACTAATGGCGGAAGGGGTTAACTTTTATTAGGTAATGAAAGGGTTAACTGTGTGAGGGGAGTGTTTTACTAGGGGGTGGAGTTGCGTACTTCACAGGAACACTCTGATCCCGAGAGATAAAGTCTTCTCTCAGGTTTAGCGTGCTCTGAACTGACAGATAGCAGAGCTGCAATGTAAACACTGCAGCCGTGCTATCTGTCAGTGATTACTTGTAATCGCTGGCACCCGGCGGGAAATGACCCGCCCGGAGCCGGTGATGGACACCCGGTGCCACAATCGGCGGGACGGGTAGGAGGCGCGTGCCCCCTACCTGTTTTGCACAGCGACGTTAAAAGATGGCGCTGTGCGTACAGATGCCGCCCTGCCGCAGTAAAAACACTGCAGCGGGTCGGCAAGCAGTTAAAGGGTATCTAAACCCACAAGCAAAAATGTAGTATATCACAAAGTGAATATAAAGACAAAAAAGCCTAAAAAAGAAAACTAATGCAGACACCACATTTATGGATCAGTAAGCTGCAATGTATTTCGTTTTTGTTTTTGGGTTAAAGAAGTATGGTCAAAACTCTTTTAGTCATACTTCTCTTCAGCAGTTGCTGCAGCCCCGGTGTGGTGTGACTCCTTTCCTTTTTTAACAGTTGAGATAAGGGTATTGCTTTAATAAAACAACTAATTATCAATGTGAACATTCACAATGAGGCCTCATGCACACTGGACGTTTTTTACATTGCTGTTAGGGGCATCTGGTGTGTTTATTTCTTCTGTCTCTAAACGCCATGCATGTTAGCCTTTGTGTCCATGCACACATAAGAGTTTAGAGGAGTTCCAGTCCAGAAGCAATAGTGTTTTGGCAACGTGTGTTAACTCTAGGTGCATTTAGCTCTTGAGGGTAAATTCATTTCAATGGCCAGAATAAATTATTATTTTGGCCAATGAAATTACATGATGCGCCTAAATTTGTTATATGCATTTACAAGCGCCCGGTGTTTTTTTCTGCCGAAAAGCTGCAGCCAGGAGCAAAAGCGTCTAGAAGAGATGGTCAAAATTCCAGTGTGCATGAGACCTTTAAAGGGCATGTTTACTTTACAAAATGAATGATGGTTAATAAGGTAAACCTACGTTCATGTTGAATGCCCAATCATGAGAAAGGGAATTTAAAAAAAACAGGATTTGTGCCAGCTCATGATTAGTGGATTAAAGGTAACACAGTTTTATCATATTTAAAAAACTCAGTTACAATTCAATTTTCTAAGCGAACATTCACTTTTCCTTTGGTAAATCAACCCCACTGTCTCTGCCATGCAGGGACTGCATTGTTTTTAATGAGTCAGTTGACTCTTAGGGTTCATGTACACTGCAGCTGATAAACTGACATTCAGGAGCTTTTCTGAGTTTTTTTCAGCAGCCCCTGAACTCTCCCTAATGTTTTCCTATGTGTCCATGTACACATAGTTGTTTACAGTCGTTTACAGGCAGTTGAGTTTACAGTCGTTTTTTTAACGCTCCAAACTTGTGTCAGGAGTAGATTTTATCAGTATTTTTAAACATCAAATGCTTGTAAACACAGCTAATCGCGTTTATAAGCGGTTGCGTTTAGAAGCATTTTTTAACTGTTCCATATCCAGATGCTGTCCAGAGCCTTTGTTCATCATCAGAAATGCATGCAAAGTGTTTTCCATGTATTCAAATGGACCCAGAACACCAGCGCAGTCAGTTCCAGGTTTTGCGTGAAGGAAAAAATGGTAGAACGTGCCGCATTATGCTCATGATGGGATCCATAGTGAATACAACCAGAAAAGACAGGTCATCTCAACAAATACTGCTCTGTCTGCTTCTGCATTCTCTATTTCTCTCAAAATGTCTAAAATAGTTAACTTTTTTTCTGTTTTTTAGTGCATTCTGGGCATATTGGAAGGTCTCCTGAGGTTATCTTTAAAAAACACACTTCTAAATGCAAACGCACATAAACATGCAAAAACGCAGTATGCAAACTTGGCTAAACAGACATTTTTTAACCTACGTTTTCCAGCAGTCAGTTTCCATCGTTCAGAAGTGTTTTCCCGTGTACATGAGCCCTAAGTGGTGATCTACTAAAGACATGGAGTATGTTCACTTCATAAAATAGTTCACAAGGCTCAGTAAATAAGGTAAAGCTGTGTTAGTTTCTTCCAACCAATCATGTGCAAACAAAAATCCATTTTTTTTTATTTCCGTCGAACATGATTGGGTTGTCCAAAGCACACTCCACCTATCATTTTTATACCTTATTCATTAAGCTAAATGAAAATTTATTTTCAAAGTAAACTCAGCCCTACAAAGTTGCAATCTGACAGGAAGCAGTAAAGCAATACTACTGACCAGCACTGCAAAACAGGAAGCAGCGCATGCATGTGTATTGAGCAAATATGTCTGTTCCCCTGTACATATATAATTATTTGAGCATAGGGACAAGATAAATAAAGCACTAAAGCTAAACTCCAAGGAGGACTCAAAACTACCCTTACAGTAACCTTCCCTCCCCCCCACTGCAAGGGTTACATGATAATTTTTGTCCAGGTTGTAAAGGTTCCTGATGCTTTTCCAAACCTAAAAAAATATATTTTTTGGCTAATTTTTAGGTAACTTAGTTCCTGAACTGTAGTTCCTGAACTGCTACGTGTAGAATGCATAGTATAATAATGTGATCTCAGATCACTACCTACTTGCCTCTGAAGATTACCGCACTAGTAAATCTTTTCTACCTGTTAAGCTGTTACTATTATTATTATACAGGATTTATATAGCACCAACAGTTTGCTCAGCGCTTTACAATATAAAGGGAGAGAATACAGCAACAATACAGTTCAATACAAGAGGGTTAGGAGGGCCTGATCCTGGGAGCTTACAATCTAAGAGGGAGGGGCTGCTGGTACAAAAGGTAATAACTGTGGGGGATGGTCTGGTAGGAAGAATAGAAGATTCTGTTATTACCTGAAGGCAAGATAGGCTTCCCTGAAGAGATAGGTTTGCAGAGATCGCCTAAAAGTGAGCAGAGTAGGCGATAGTCTGATAGATTGGGGCAGAGAGTTCCAGAAGATGGGGGAGACTCTGCAGACGTCCTGGAGACGAGCATGAGAGAAGACAAGATAGCTAGAGAGGAGGAGGTTGTGGGAGGAGCAGAGAGGACGGTTTGGGTGATATTTGGAGACAAGATTGGTGATGTAATTGGAGTTATAAATGGTTTTATATGTTATTGTTAATGTTTTGAATTTTATTAGTTGGGCAATGAGAAGCATTGAAGGGATTGGCAGAGAGGGGTGAAGGCCAGTGGAGGGATTGGCAGAGAGGGGTGGCAGATATGGAACGGTTAGTAAGGTGGATGAGTCTGGCAGCAGCATTCATGATAGACTGAAGAGGGGATAGCCTGCGATGAGGTCAGCCAATGAGGAGGGAGTTACAATAGTGAAGTGAAGGCGAGAGATAACAAGGGAGTGAATAAGTTGCATAGTGGTTTCAGAGGTTAAGAACAGGCGTATCTTGGAGATGCTGTGAAGGTGAAGTCAATACTACCCTTCAACAAATATTGCATTAAAGAACCAAGAGAAAATCAGAAATACATGCAAAATATATCAAAATGAATGCAGGCCATACATGGGTCGAATTCAGAACAAATTTTCTTTAGGAAATCAGAAATTTTGTACGGTTTGTAATCCAATGCTGCCACCATTGATTTAGAAATTTAACCAACCAAGCCTTTCATTTCATGTTGCTACAGAAAAGAATTTCATAGCCAAGAATTTTCTTTTCTTTACAGGTCACATCTCATGCTCATTTCTTTTTCAATCACAATTCTCCCATCATTGGTTAGAAATTCATTTTTTAATAAATTTCCAACATGCCCGATCACTCAAATTTGATATTCGCTCGAAAATCGTCCATTGTTGTGGCCCACTAATGGTGCAAAATTCAAACGAAAATTCTTAGAAAAGATTTTCGAAAGAAAATTCTTTCAGAATTCGACCGATGAATGGCTGGCTTAAGGCTTGCCATACATTTTATAATTTTCTTTAAAAAGTTTGCTCTAGATTTACCAAAAACCATATGATATGAGGTCAAACCTAAACAACACTTTCAATTGTATCCAATTAGGTGGGCCCTTGCACTACATAGTTGAAGGTAAATCTAAAGGAAATTGGACAGAAAATTGTATAGTGTATGGCCAGCCTTAGGTTCCATTGCACAGATGGTTCATTCTAAAAATCAAGGACATTTCCAGGGACAAAACCTTGAGGGAACAATATTTTTCCTGAGGTGGATATTCACAACTTGGAATTTTTCTTGATCAGGAACAGACAGCTGCTTGGGTCGCACCTGTAATCTGGAGGAGGGCTTCTCTTATCCTCTTTGGTGTATTGGATTATATCAGTTGATTTTCCAAGAGTTGTGTCCATTATTCTCTCCTTATTCATGCTGCTTGGCTTATTCTGATAATCTGTTGGCTGTTTGGATTGATTAGCATTCTCTGCTTTGTCTTCTGTTACTTGTGGATTACCTTACCCCTCCCTCTGACAAATCAGATTACAGGCAGGCCCTCAGCATCCTCACTTACAGTGCTGGACTGTTGGTTCTGCATTGTACATGATGATGACATCAGAGTGCGACTGATGAATGAAGCACCAAGGAAGCTTTGCAGGACTCATTGCAAAGTAAGAAGCCTGTTGGAGCAAGGGATAAAACTGCATGTAAGTCTGTTGGAGTGAGGGATAAAACTACATGTAAGGTACCCTAACAAAAAAATAAGCATTTAACCCCTGCAAAGCGAATAACCCCACTTTAAGGGTATTTTTGAATTTTTATTGAGTTTTATGAGTTCAGCTTAAACTCATAATGGTAAGATTATTAACACCTGGCAAAGATTTCTTTCACATACTGTATATAGTTAAAAATAATATTGATTGTATGTTTTTCAAAGCCCAACTCTAGCCAACACTTCTTTCCTAGTTCTGAATGATATAAGAATAGAGTTAGAATTTCTGTTAGATTTTTGTGGCTGTGTATACTCCATTTCTCCTCCAATTTTTATCCCTGTGACACAAGGGCAAGAAATGGGGGGGGGGGGGGGTCACAGAGACATTGGACTCAGGTGTTCCAATCACCTCCATGGCCACAGGTGAATAAAATCAAACACCTAGGCATGCAGACTGCTTCTGCAAACATTTGTGAAATAATGGGTCGCTCTCAGGAGCTCACCAAATGCAAGTGTGGTACCGTGATAGGCTACCACCTGTGCAATAAGTCCATCCGTGACATTTCCTTGCTACTAAATATTCCACGGTCAACTGTTAGTGGTCTTAAAACAAAGTGGAAGCAACTGGGAACAACAGCAACTCAGCCACGAAGTGGTAGGCCACGTAAAATGATAGAGCAGGGTCAGCGCATGCTGAAGTGCACAGTGCGCAGAAGTCGTCAACTGTCTGCAGAGTTAATAACTAAAGCCCTCCAAACTTGGTGTGGCCTTAAGTTTAGCAAGACAACAGTGCACAGAGAGCTTCATGGAATGGGTTTCCATGGCCGAGCAGCTGCATCCAAGCCTTTCATCACCAAATGCAATGCAAAGCGTTGGATGCAGTGGTGTAAAGAACGCCGCCACTGGACTCTAGAGCAGTGAAGACACGTTCTCTGGAGTGACGAATCACGCTCTTCTGTCTGGCAATCTGATGGAGGTATCTGAGTTTGGAGGTTGCCAGGAGAACGGTACTTGCCTGACTGCATTATGCCAAGTGTAGGGTTTGGTGGAGAGGGATTATGGTGTGGGGTTGATTTTCAGGGGTTGGCTTGGTCCCTTATTTTCAGTGAAGGGAACTCTTAAGGTGTCAGCATACCAAGATATTTTGGACAATTTCATGATCCCAACTTTGTGGGAATAGTTTGGGGATGGCCCCTTCCTGTTCCAACATAACTGTGCACCAGTGCACAAAGCAAGGTCCATAAAGACATGCATGAGTGAGTTTGGGGTGGAGGAACTTGACTGGCCTACAGAGTCCTGATCTCAACCCAATAGAACACCTTTGGGATGAATTAAAATGGAGACTGAGAGCCAGGCCTTCTCGTCCAACATCAGTGCCTGACCTCATAAATGTGCTTCAGGAAGAATGGTCAAACATTCCCATAGACACACTCCTAAACCTTGTGGGCAGCCTTCCCAGAAGAGCTGAAACTGTTATAGCTGCAAAGGGTGGGCCAACTCAATAATGAACCCTACGGACTAAGCCTGGGATGCCATTAAAGTTCATGTGCATGTAAAGGCAGGCATCCCAATACTTTTGGTAATATAGTGTATGTGCCTTGACTACCTCGACTACCATGCTGTCTTTATAATGACTTACTTACATTGGGTCTGGATGGTTCCCCATTGGGAAGTTGGTCCTTCTATTTTACAATTACGTTTACAGGACCGTTGACTGTATACTGAATGTACCTGAATTTCCCACCTGAGAGGCAGTGGCTTCACCTTGGCTTACTCATTTGTATCTCTATGGGCAACATGCACATGCTATGAATTCAGTCTACCCTACTGGCTGATATTACTCTATTAAAGTTAAGGAGTGGGTTCCAGTGTACTGATTCTGTCACAGGTCTCCTGAAGAAGACTTCCCAAAACGATTAAAGTCCACATGTGCACTGTAATTCGATTCTTTGGATGTTGTGAACCCCAATGCGGACAGTAATTGTTAAGTTTCTCTTCTATATATCCACACAAAGTCACATGACTAAATATACTGTTCATAGCTGTACATGGTTTTCTTTGATGTGGACATATAGCATACACAGTCTGGGTCTCCTGTTACAGACTTGTGACCATTCAGTCCTTTATTTCTATCAAACCCTGTTGTGAGCATAAAGTTTGTTGCAATAATGGTTAAACAAAAAGACAAATTCTGAATTAAAAATAGCTAAATCTAATAATGACCATCAGGAAAAAGGAGATTAATTCATTTGTTTTGTTATGAAATAATTATATCAGAATAATAGTATGATGTAACTGCCTGCAGTGCAGCTATTCTGCTAAGAGGCCATAACGTCAGAAATACTGCTATTCCAATTAACCTGAAAAGCCCTAGATTTGTATTTCCATTGAAATTCTAAGAAATTAGCCTTCACGTTCCCATTTCCTTTCCGTAGGTTATAGATAAGTATTTGACAGTGTTTTTGTTCTTATTATCATTATCTTGCTTCCTTCCTTTTATCACTGTCTGTTGGATTTGTCAAGGTCCCTTTATTTTTTGGATTACAAGGTCAAGTTCCTATTCACTCTAACATGCTGAGGATTCCAAAATGCCATAGCACTACAGCAGTGGTTCTCAACCTTCCTAATGCCGTGACCCTTTAATACAGTTCCTCATGTTGTGGTGACCCCCAACCATAACATTATTTACCCAGTAATTATAATTCATGAAGTGTCGTTTTACCTCCAATACTGCTGCTTTCAGCACAGTAGCTGCTTTTAACAGAGTAGCTGCTTTCAATACAGCAGCTGATTTCTATACAGTAGCTGCTCTTTACGCATCAGAAATATGTGTTTTCTGTGAAAGGGTTGTTCGACCCCTAAAGGGGTCGCGACCCACAGGTTGAGAACCACTGCACTACAGTGAAGAAACATTGTCCTTATTTACTCCCGCACACCAAGGACTGCAAAGTGATGTTTAATGGAGAAAGACACATCATGGCTAGGGTACTGAAGCTGAAGCCATGTCTAAACTTCATACAACACACACTCCACATTTTGTTTGGTATTTAACTGTCAAGGTCCTACCTTTCTTCAGAGCTTGTGCATCTCCATGAGCTGGCATCCATCTTGGATTTCTGCAAAGCATGGTGGGAACCTTTATGCCTTCAGGCTTCTGCGGCTCCTCCTCAGAAGGGTGTGGTTGAGCACATTTAAACCTGCTGTCTGCAAGTGTGCTCTGCACTTGTGTCCTGTATGTTGCCCTGTTGCAAGCTCTTGTGTTGTTCCAACAAATTATATTTATGATGAAGCGCTCAACTTATATAAAAGTGAAAATTTTCTCCTTCCAAAATAATAATAAATTATTCCAAATATAAAAACGAAATAGTCATCAATCTATACAAGATATCTAGTGCAAAATCTCCACACACAAATTATACGCCCCCTGGTGGTATAGTGATAATCAACTAATGCCTCTTGAACTGTGCAAAGTGATACATATATCCAATTATATAAAAAATCAATTATATAAAAAATCAATTCAAAATTATTTGTGATGCCACACTGTGCAAAAATAATAAAAGTGTTCAATGACTTCACTCCATGCTGCAATTGTGCTCTTCGTGATATTCTTGATGTGACTTCCCTCAATAATAGCCAAAGTGCCCCCTCACCTTCCACATTCGACCCTTGCGGGTCACAAAGCTTTATATATGTAATATATCTCTGCCAGGTTTTTCATCCTCCACTGCCTCCACCGACTTAATCAAGACCCTCCTCCAGGCAATGAGTTCCACTCAAATAACTTCCCTCACAATACGGACTCAAACACAGGGCGCATCTATGTCATGGACACACTTCCCGGCCCGGGAATTGGCCTGTTTCCAGGTAATTTCTTCCCCGCACTACTCCGTGGTTTTGGGCTATCCCTGGCTTCAGAGGCACAATCCGACCTTTGATTGGCGATCGGCCGAGATTCTCTCATGGTCACCACGGTGTGGGGCTGGTTGCATCCGTGGTCCGGTTAAGGTGCTGTGCACCTCCTCGGACTCTGTGCTGCCCACTGAATATGGGGAGTACTTGAACGTGTTTGACAAGGTGCGCGCCGGTGCTCTGCCTCCTCATCGTCCATACGATTGTGCCATAACCTTACAAACTGGTGCCACTCCTCCGCGTGGCAGGGTGTATCCTCTTTCGGTGGCAGAGAATCAGGCCATGGAGGAATACGTTGCGGATGCGCTTTCCCGGGGGCACATTCGCAAGTCTACGTCTCCAGCAGGAGCTGTGTTTTTTTTACATGAAAAAGAAGGGAGGTGAGCTGAGACCCTGCATTGATTTTAGGGGTCTCAATCGGATCACAATTAAAAATGCTTATCCTATTCCGTTGATCACCGAGTTGTTTGACCGCCTCAAGGGAGCAACGGTCTTTACTAAACTTGACCTTAGGGCTGCCTACAACCTCGTACGGATCAAGGAGGGCGACGAGTGGAAGACCGCGTTCAACACCAGAACCGGCCACTATGAATACCTGGTTATGCCCTTCGGGTTGTGTAACGCACCCGCGGTCTTTCAAGAGTTTATTAACGATGTCTTACGTGACTTGTTGCAGCAGTGCGTGGTGGTTTACTTGGACGACATCCTAGTTTACTCTGCGTCTATGGAGACTCATATCCAGGATGTTAAGCGGGTGCTGCAACGGTTGCTTGAAAACGAGCTTTTCTGTAAGCTCGAGAAGTGTGAATTTCACCAATCCCAGGTTGCCTTTTTGGGCTACATCATTTCCCCGGTGGGTTTTTCTATGGACCCTGAGAAGGTTTCAGCGGTTCTGCAGTGGCCTTGTCCCAGTGGTCTTCGGTCCATTCAGCGCTTTTTGTGATTTGCCAACTATTATCGGAAGTTTATCAGGAACTTTTCCACACTGTCCAAGCCTCTCTCAGACCTGACCAAGAAGGGCGGTAACCCTCATGAGTGGTCACCCGAGGCCATCTCAGCTTTCAAGGCTCTGAAAGCCACCTTCACTTCGGCCCCAATTCTGTCTCATCCCAATCCTGGGTTGCCTTTTGTTCTCGAGGTTGATGCATCTGAGACAGGAGTAGGCGCTCTCTTGTCCCAGCGTCGGTCACCCGAGGGACCCCTACTTCCTTGTGGGTTCTACTCCAAGAAGCTTTCCTCTGCAGAGTGCAACTACCAGATTGGAGACAGGGAGTTGTTGGCCATTATTCTGGCTCTCAAGGAATGGAGGCACCTGCTTGAGGGTTCTGTGGTCCCGGTCCTAGTTCTCACTGACCACAAGAACCTCACATATCTCTCGGAGGCTAAGAGGTTGACACCCCGTCAGTCCAGGTGGGCTCTGTTTTTGTCACGTTTTAACTATGTGGTCTCTTACTTGCCTGGTTCCAAGAATGTCAGGGCTGATGCCTTGTCGCGGCAATACTCTGAGCTGTCCAGGGAGGACACTGAGCCGACCTCGGTCATTCCTCCAAACCAGATCCTGGCTGCCATTCGTACCAACCTGACTTCTCCCCTTGGGGAGCAGATTTTGGCAGCTCAAACTAATGCTCCCCCTGCGAGACCGGTTGGAAGATGTTTTGTACCTGAGGTATTGCGTACCCGCTTGCTACGTACCTACCATAATTCTAAGACTGCCGGTCATCCTGGTAGGAACCAATTGTCCTGGGTCGTTTCTCGGTTATTCTGGTGGCCATCTCTCCGTTCTGACATCGCCTCATATGTAGCAGCTTGTTCGGTCTGTGCCCAGAATAAATCTCCTCGGCACCTTCCATTGGGCCTTTTGCAACCCATTCCCAATGGGGAGCGTCCCTGGTCACACCTGGGCATGGATTTTATTGTGGATCTTCCTGCGT